TATACAAGCTTATTGCTGACATGACATTGAACCAATGCCATTGGAATAAATTTGAATCTGTATCTATTGCCTTAATGGAGATGGGTAATATTTACCTCATAGGAATGTTGTAATTCTTGTACAGTATTTTCAAGTAAATTAAAGCTTTGCTAATGGCGAAGGTATACTAGCCTATCTAAACAAATTGTAATATTCTATGCAAAATCATTTAATTCTTTCCCTTCCACCCCAAATTTAAATTAACAAAGCATTTAGACCCTAATAATGACAATCGGTGCAAACTTTGTTGATTGAATCAAAAGATTTAGAGCTTCTTTAGCTCATAAAGCTTAGATACCAATTATCTTTAAGAATGGCTATGGTGGTAGTAATACAATATAACGCATGATAGTTGTTACACTGCAATACATCAAATTAGTGAACTGATCACTTCAGACTTTTTTCAATAAACCTATATGAAACCATTCTCAGTTACACCTGGCAAGTTCTGAATCAAATGGATATGGAGACAAATGAACTAAGAGTATGATTTTGCTGGGCAGAAATCTCTCTCATTCCCACTTCGCAGTGATTCCTGACCATATTGTTAAAATACTGGTTTGATTTCTATGTCCAGCTGTGAAGGAGGAGCAACCCTCCCTCTGCTTGGGCCTTCAGTCCAGCAATAGCATAACTAGCCTTTACATGCCCTAAATGACAGAATCTTACTCCCATCTGTGAGTATTTATGAAAATTGTTTTTATTTCCTGAATGCCCACATTAATTTAGTTGACCAGCAGGTATAAATTTACCCTTTCCTTCATCTTATACCTCATTTGATCTTACAGCCTTCATACAAGGGAAATAATTTTTTTTTTTTTTTTTACTGGCTTGATAGATGTTCAGCAAAAAACACCTCTCCAACTGCTGAGGTTCTTGGGACTCCCTTTTTCTTAAACGGGGCAAACAGCAGATGGGAACTTGAAGAAATTATTTGAAGAAAAACCTCCAAGCTTTGATTACTAAACAGATCAAGATACTCTGAAATAATACTTTGTGTGGTTAAAAATAGGAGTGCTTGTATCTTAAAGCTGTTCAAAAATACGCCTGAAAGGGGCCCCATTAAGCTTGATTGTAATTGACTGTAGTCTATGGATACCCTTGATTTTTATGGTATCTACTTACATCAGTACTGAATCTCACCCAGAGTGTGTTTGGAGTGATGACTATAAAAAGTTATTGTATATGAAATGCTGTGTTATGTCAATATTGTACTGCTACAGCTTGTAAATTCCCAGTGATCTGTATAATAAAGGATGTTTACAGTGGTAATGAACTCAATTGAGAGCATGTTTGCTGATTTATAAAAAAAAAAAAAATAAGCCATGTTTGCTGGGCATTTGATTTCCAGGAGATAATCCTAGACAGTGCTCTGAAGATTAGAGAGATAAGAAGCTGTGACAGGCTGGCAGTATCTGCCTGAAACCCCATCCCCTGTCAGCAGGTGCTGATGTTGCTGGGAAGCTGTTGCACAGATTTTGTTAATGCACTGAGCAGATGGCTTATAAAAGAAATGGGTGTTGCTTTCTGAAGCAAAAACTACTATGGGCTGAGAAGTCTTGTAGCAAGAATCCTGGGGGAATATAAAGGAAAGGAACTTGAACTGAACCTTGTTTCTTTATTGGTAATGTTTTCTAGTCAAGCACTAGGAAATGGTTGGTTCTTGACAGCACAGACTGTGTTTGGACTTAGTTTTATAGCAAGTGGCAAAATGCACCTGTTCAGAGAAGCATAATTAACTACTTAGTAAATATATTCCAAGATTGAATGTCATACAAATGAGAGAAAACTCTTGGAATAGCTAAGTTTCCTATTATATAGCTAAATGCTGGCTTTATTTCAAAGCTTTTGAAAGTCATGTTTGTTACTTTTAATGTTTTAAAACTTCATCTTTTTTATATTCCTCAGCAATAACAGTTGCATGATGACATAACCTGTTTCCACAGGAGAGGCAAAACGCAACTTCCAAGTTTTCTGGACCATGTCAGACCATGCATCCTACTGCAGCTCTCAAAGTTGAATGGACAGGATAAATAGGTTTGCATTTTAAAGCCTGTATTATGACTTTGTTAAAAGACCAATATTCTTGAGAGAATTTAATTATCCTTTTTCTATTTTGAAGAAATTATTTATTGGCTTTGAGATGGATTACATGTATGCAGCATTACAATGCTTATAATTATTCAGGGAATATATTACTACTAACACAACAGATGAAATAGGAACCATGCTCAAATAATCAACCTTTCTCTGAAAGGTAGTACTGATCAGATTGTCCCCACTGTTCTTTTACTATAACAATTAAAAGTCATAAAAGTACCCAGGATCCCTGGATGGAAAAGCAAGAAAAAAACCATAAGAAAATTCATAGGAGTAAGTACATTTCAGAGAAAGCATTTTTTGGTTTTCTGTTTTGCCCATGTTTGTTTGAGAAATTTGTATGATCTTCATGCCATAAAAGGCATTTTTGATAGTTCTATTGACAATAATTATCTAGTCACATCTGTTCTGAAGTGCATCCATGTTCAATGTTTCAACTAGCTCAATATTAAAAATAACTAATACTCCTAATCAAGCATCTGCATATTTAATACCCTGTTTTGGTTTCTTAATAAATTTTGTTAGCTCTAATGTTTCAACATGGGGGCACTCTCAGAGTGATTCAGAATGCAGACCGCATTAAAAAAGAGTAAATCTCATCCATTTCTGGGAAACAACAACTAAAAGCATGTTCTGGAAGAGATTAATGCCTCTCAGGAATGGAGATGAGAAAATGCGTTTATGCTGTCAGGCTCTGGTCTTTGCTGGGAGGCTATGTCCTAGGCTGTGACTTCCCAGCTGAGACTGGCACCCAGCTGTACCAACTGTCCTCTGGGAAGGGGAAGTGTTAGCTGGACCTTGGAGACTGTTAGAAAAAGCCTCCTGGGAGCAGAGCAGGGCACGGTTGTATTGCCAGGCTCCAGGTTTGCCTGCAAACTATAAAGCTGGGTACAAACTCTCATTTGTGATTTGCTGATCTTCCCCCTAATAACATAATAATAAACAACATAATTTGCTCAGCAGAGAGATATCCTCAGGCTTTGGGGTGTAGAGATGTGGGCCGCGGTGTGGGATAAGGACATAGCACTGAAAGTAGGCAGGATCTGCTGTAGGCCTGAAGCAAGCTTTGACCTGGAGATAACATACCATGCATGTAAACCTTGTAAATGCTTTCATCTGCAGTCAGTGGCAGCATTCCAAATGACTAGCGGAAAGAAAATCAAACCTTTCCTTACAAGCATCCTGTAACATAGCTTTCTCACAGCTGTGAGGAAAATGAATAATGCTCACATGGGGACAAGCTTAGATACCAATGCCTCTGCTTTAGCATGGAATTTCTAGCATTAAAACTTAGATCTGTTCATACAAACACTTACCTACACAAACTAGCATGTGAATTTCCATAATAAAAGATTCCAAAAGTTTGAGTGGTAAATAAATGATAATTTCTGTGTATCAGTAAGAAACACAATGTAAGCTGTAATCAAACCTGATCAAAAATGTATCTGTAAAAAGAAATTCTTGAACTTTATAAGCTACAAATCCATTCCACACATGAGGAAACAGTCTGAAATCTCTCCAGGGGTGTCTAAAGGATTTTTCATGTGGCCTTCTGTCCTTAACAATCATTCTAGTACTTGCAAGAAGCCCACAATCTGTTGCTATTAAAGCATTAGCTTACTTTGCAAGATGTTAAAAGTAGAATAAGAAACATAATCCTGATAAAATTTTCAAGTTGCTTCACATCATTTAACAAAGAAAATATCTTTCTGACCAAGGAAAATAAAACTAAGCTTGCTGAATGTTTATTTCTAGCTACCTCAAAAAGGCAGTTACACAGGATCTCACAGAAGGCTTATTTTGGCCATGAGATTGTGCAGAAAAAGTTAGGTTGAAATTGATTTTAAAGGTATGTAGTAATGAGGAATATGTGGTGTAAGACTGAAATAATATAGATGTTAATTTTCATAAACCACAAAAAAACCCCAAGCATTAGCAATAAGTCAATAAATGATTACTGCTAATTCCACAGCAACCATACACCAGCCTAAATCCAGTGTCCCAGTGATTTCCACTGTTGTTGAATCTGGCTCTTAACCTTGGTAAACAGACAGAGGGTATTGCATAATCCATTGTGATAACAATTTTAGTTGGGCTTTTATTTATTATTTTCAGAAAAGATAAGGATTTTTTTCTCCAAGGCTTTAATTATTTTGATAAAATAAAAAATAACAAAAAACAAACCACCCAAAACCACATAAAAAAAAAAAAATCTTCATTTGACAAAGGTTTTCCCATTTTTTAATCTTTAATGTATTTGTCCCACCAGGTCATTTGCTAGGAGGCAAAAGTATTTCAGGAAAAGCCTGACGTGGCTTTTCCAGAGTGGCAAACAGCAGCTATGCACACCGGGGGGAACGCTGCTTACAAGTCCACGCGGGAAGAACGAAAAAACGGCCTGAAAACGCGAATAAACCAGCACAGGCCCACAGGTGACGGCAGAATGTGCCAAGGCCGCCACCTGTCCCCAAACGGCCGGCAGCTCCCGTGCCGCCCTCCTGCAGGAACCACTGCTGCCACCGCCGAGGCCCCGCACCCTTCAGCGGTGCCTGCTCCGTGCTCCCACGCGTGGCTGGGGCCGGCCGGGAGCGCCCGACCCGCGCTCCTGCCCGCTCATGGCAGCCCCCGCAGGGTCGGAGGCGCAACGTCAGCCGGAGCCAGGCCCCGAAGCTCCCCTCGCCCGGCGGCGGGGGAAGCGCGGCTCGCGGCCCGGGCCCCGAGCGGTTGCTAGGTCCTCGGCTCGTATCCTGGAGGCAGCGCGGGCCGCTTCCACCGCGAAGGGCGGCGGGGGAGACCGGTGCCTCTGGAAGGCTGGGCACGGCTCCTGGCGCCGCCCGCCCCGCGGTCACCGCCCTCTCTCCTCAGGCGCTCTCCCCGCACGTACCTCTGGGGGAGAGTTGGTCCTCACCGCCCCGCCTGGCCGGCCACCGCCGGTGCCCCCTCTCGGGGAATGGTTGCTCCCAGCTCCCGGCCGTAACGTCCCGCTCCTCCTCCCGCCGGTGCCCGGCTCGGATGCTGCCAGCCGGGAGAGCCCCGCCGCGCTGTCCGTGAGGCGCAGCACGCTATCGGCGGGGTCCCGCGGCACCCCTGCGTCGCCTGGGAGGACTGGAGCGCCGACAGGTAACGGCTGAGGGGGATCGGTGGGGCGCTCGCCCTCTCAGCCCGCGCTTCACCTCACCCGCAGCTTCTCGGCCCGCCGCCTTCGGCTGCCGTCCGCGGGGAAAGCCGGCGGAGAGGCTGCCAGCCGTGATTCAGCATCGCCGCCCGTAAAGGATGTGCGGCAGGCAAGGGCAGCTCTGCCCTGCCCTGCCCTGCCCTGCCCAGCTTGGGGGCTGCGGGAGCCGGGGAGAGGGCAGGGCGGCGGGGGATGCCGTGCCGAAGAGCGGTCTGTCTTCTTCTGGGGGCGATGCTCTGCTGCGGGGAGCGCCCCACTGCTGCTCGGGTGCCCGGCTAAGTGCTGTCTGCAGAGCCGGCTCCCGGCCCTGCATCGGGGTGTCCTGCCTACAGCGGGCAGCTCTCGTGTCGGGAGGGGAGGGTAACTGCGAGCGTGTCGCAGTGTGAGGCGTAAAGAGCCGTTTTGAGTTTTAAGGTATTAATGTACCCTAACACCTTCCCCTTTGCCCCCCCCCCCCCCCCCCCCCCCGAGTTTTGCGGGTGAAGTCCATCATCTGTGCAGGTCGTTTCGCATGTACGGCCAGGTCTCTTCGGAGCCGGTTGAGGTTAAAACGGGATCTTCTGCTTGCAGTGGTACCCAGGGGAGGCTAAAATGTAGAGCAAGTTAAATCCCTGGAGATGCAAGTCAGGTATCTTCCCGTGCTTTCTGTGCTTAGTTGAAAGCTCGTGGTCTGTGGAATCTTTTGAATTTCTGCTGTTGAAACCACACATAATTGTAAGCAAAAGGGAAAAGCAATTGATGCTGGAATTGGAATTTGAAGTACTGCTGAACTCTGTGAAACCAATTGAAGGTCCTAAATAGTGGTTGCTTTTGTGCCTTTCATACTTATTTTCAGTTTGAGTACCAAAATCAGATTTTATTCCTTCTCAAAAAAACCCAAACAACCCAAGGACTGCCTCTCTTAATTCTTTCCTGCTTGAATTCCTCATTAATTTTATGTGCCAGGGTGTTAGTACCTATCTAAATAACACTTAGAGAAATCCTGCCAGTTGTTTTCGCAATTGAAAGACTAGAAGCACTTTTCTGTGTGGGTATTGGTTATCCCCCACAAATTCCACAGAGTATCTCAAAATATACAGTCACTTGGCATCAGCAGAAGCTTCTGTCCATGTTTTAAGTACTAGGGTAGAGTTTTTAATAGAAATAGGTTATGTGTCAGTACTACTTTGAACAAAACCTGACAAAAGCAGTTTTTATGTCAGTGAGTAAATGAGTAAAAAAGAGTAAAAGGGTGTAAAAAAGAGTAAAAGGGTAAAAAAAAGGTAAAAAAACCCCTCTTACATGGGGAGTAAATATAATCTCTATACTGACATATGGAAGTATAATCTGAAGCCATTTTTTCTGAAGAAAAATGTTACAAAATTTCAGTGAATTATACGAGCTATTTAATTTTTTTTTTTAGAAAACACATTTCTGTATTTCTGATGGTTGGATACTTTCTGCATGCTTCCAAAGGGAGCTGCCCACCGCTTTGGGAGCGTTAGAAGAGTCCAGGAGATCATGCCTGTCAGCAGTTATTAGGTAATTATTCCAGTAATCTAGCAATCATTTTAGTAATCTGAGGCTCAGGTTTGCAATTAAATCAGAGTTTGTTCCCACGCTCTTCCAAAGCCGACAGTGTTAAATTAGCTGTGTAGATTATGCTGTGGACAGGTCTGAAGGTCTGGGAAATGAATTAGTCAACAAGCAGTTAGACACTAAACGATCTTGCAATCTTGTCTATAGTTAGGATCCTTTTTTTTTAAGATCTGTATGCTGCTGTATGTTGATAGTGAAAGCCATAAATATATTTTTGAAGGTGAAATGTGGCAGAGTAATGCTGACTGCTGATTGTGTTTGCTCTAAATTGTCAGCATCATGAAAGACTGAAGTATGATTTCTTGATTCGAATCTCCATCTGTGGATATGTGTTATAAGTTTTAAAAATCTCTGTAAGATACATATGGCAAATGAGTCATTTCTTGAATTTCCTGAATTTCCACATCTTCTAATGTTCTGGGGGGGTTTATTTTTTTTTTCTCTTTGCTATGTTTTAATGTGGTATTAAGGAGTATTTTTGCTTTCAATAGATACTTGCAGATATCTCATACAAATTGAGGACACGGTTTTAAAATGGAAATCCTTAGAAACCCAAGAAAATTTAGATGAGAAAATTTAGAGTATTATTACTGCCTTGGAGTGTCGTGACTTCTTGGCCAGTCCTAAATCATAAAGACACTGAATTGTATAGACAGGCTTTGTATCAGTCCCTGAAGAAAAAGATGAATACTTGTCAGTCTTTTACTTTGTGATGAGGTATTTCCATCATCCGGAGCTGACACAGTGACTCTCTAATGAGAGGGGGGAGGGAATAGTTGTATTTTCCTAAAAGAGAGCTAGAGTCTGCATGAAGGTAGTGGGAGTTCCTTTTATTTTGAAGGATGTATATAAACTGTCAAAGTTAGGAAAATTGATTGTAAATACCACAGTATACATTGAAGGATATTAGCTGGATTTTGTTTTTCCCCTGTGAGCTTTAGATTGTTTAGCCTTAGATTCACTTTTATTTTCTGCACGCCTAGGAAGTTAATTGGTGCTGTTTGACTTCTGGCAGTAGGATTCAAATGGCCCTTATTAAGCACAAGGAAGCTCTTTAGAGCTCCATTAATGCTTATCTAAAACCAGAATGGTACTTTGCAACTACTCCTTTCACAGACATTATGAGCTTCCTCTAAAGTTTACTGGAACCAATGAACCTTTTAAACATTAATATTTAAAATACTAATGTATTTTAATTTTATAATGGAATTCGTTGATGCCTACTACACTGATGGCTAAGAAAATAATCTGTAATTGAGAATGGGTATGGGATTAAAAACATTGTCAATCTCTAAATCTGTTGGGTATTAGAATAAATCCTGTTCCACAGTAGCACCCATCTTGGACCCAGAAGCTCTTCCAGACCAGGAGGTTCCATAGTGCCTCCGTCTACTGGATACTCTTCTTCCTGGTGGTAGATGTGGGAAACTACAGGTTCTTCAGAGCTTTAAGTCTTAGCTTTTTGCTTGTTCCCAGTGTTCTTTCTAGCCTTCTCTCTTAAATGTTCATACAGTTGTACAAACTAGTTTTGAAATACTACCTCAGTAATTTATACTCATTTATCAGCATTTTTGCTCTTGCCTTGAATTTCATAGGCCAGGAAACAAGCTCTAACATTACAGAATAAATTTTTGGCTTTGTGTCTTAAAGGACTAAACAAAGCAGGCATCATGGTTCTTGCCTTCAGTATCAGTTTTAATCAGAACACGGGATCTCCAAAATGAAGACCTATGCGTACAGTTGTCCTGTTTCTTCTCCCAGTGTTAAAAATAGAAGTTTGAATAGTTTTTAATATTAAAAAATAGGTATTTATTTAAAAAACATCTTTGCTTCAAAGGCAATTATTTAGGGAATATAATCACGCGAGATCTTTTAATAAGCATTCTTCTCTGGGGACACAAAACCCCAGAGAAGAAGAAAACCCCCATTGCTTCATGGAAAGCCCAAATTAACAATACTAATGAAAGAAATACAAAAGGAAACAACATCATGATTTAGGACTCATTTTTCACTTTCCTTTTTGTGGAGTGAGAGGCATGCCAGTTCCCGCTTATGCTTGTATTTGGTTTTGGAAGTATTCCAGATTGAAGTATAGTATGCACCACTGCTCAAATGCACCTTAGATGGCTACATTACTGTTAATTGATAGAAAAAATTGACTGCCTAAAAGGATGAAAGTGCTTGACACAGCAGTTCAGAAGCCCCTTCTGGCCAGCACGAGCAAAAGAGTATTAACAGTCACTCTGAAGAAGAAATAAAGACAGACTAAATCTGCTTTTCATATATAATAAATGCCACAGAAAGAATTGAGTGGGGTGTGGGCTTCACAGTTAGGTACAGCAATGTGTTGACAAGTTTATTTTCATCCTTGCTTAGTAGCAAAATGCTAAATATATTCTTCTTTGGTTACATTAAAGTATGTTTCCTTCCAACTTTGTCCTTGGGTTGACATGTGTTTGTTTTATTTTTAGTGCTTGAAAACCAGCACAGTACTATCCCTATAGGGTGCAGTGGAAGTACTGGAGTATAGCATGAAAAAATGAAATCAGATGCTTAATACTGAATTCATGCAGGTGAAGAGGCACGGATCTAGATACTGTTTATGAGCACAAAAAAGAGTGGACTGACAGGGTAGAAGACTGTGATTTGATGGGGAAATTGCTTGCTCTGAATGGACTTTCCTTGAGAAATACAGAATAGAGCTATGTGATGGAAGTCTGCATTTTCTTTGTTTTTGTGAGTGGTTGTTGTGTTTAGTGTTCCATAAACTTGAAATTTCTGTGAATTTGTTACATTATTTTAATCTTTCAAGCTTATCTTGGTGGTGTGGGGGGTGGGAGAAATGTGCTAAACACTTTGTATGAATTATTGATGGAATTGATCTGAGAGATGTGCAATTTATTCACTCAGGAAAAAACCACCCTCTTTTACTGCGTTTTATTTCATGTGCCTTTTTAAAGGGATATAATATTATCCTAACTTCTTATCTTTATGTCAACTTGAAGTCTTTGAAAGACTATAAATTACTAGTGAGCATTAAGTTGAATAAAAGAATTTTTTGCTTAAAAATGAACAAGAGTGATGTGAGAACTGACTTTGGTACATTTTGTACCATTTAAAATATGGAAAATAGAAGCATTTACTGAAAAGAATGTTTCTGGGGATGGAGAGGATAGTTTCAGTAAGTAAAATGAAGAGTGACTGCGTGATGAGATAGACCCAGAGTGGCATCCACAAGTGAAGAAATAGAAGAAAAGTAAAGGAACAGTGCAGAGTTAGATTGAAATTCTGGACACCAGCTTAGAATGATGTGGTTAATGATCCCAAGCAGTTGCTTAAAAAAGTCTATTTATTAGTTTCCTCTGTTGCCTCTAGATACGAAAAGGAAAGACATTGTGGCCTTTCTGCCTAAAGCAACACTCAGGAATACAAACAGATACATAAGAAGCAAGTCTTTGATTTTCTGAGAAAATGAAATTGAATTTGTAAGAAATGAAAGTAAAGATATTTTTGTCAGTGGGTGTTTGGCAATGTCTGAGGCAGATAGTCAGCATGCCATTTAGTTCATTGATAACTAAAAAAGAAGTAACTCTGTCAGTTATGGGACATGCATGCAGAATGCTTTTCCAGCTGTTTGAGGACAGTAGATTAATGGTCCAGTTGAGGCTGACTCTCTGCAACAGCTGGATGTAAGAAAATTGGAACTGAGAAAGTATGAGGAGCCATGGGGAAAAGTTGTCTCTGGGAAGAGACTTCAGGATAGATGTTCACGTTTCACTCCCAGTTCTGTGCTTCCACACGCAACTGTATCTCAGTTGGTTTCACTGAATTTTCTTCTATAATGCCCACTGTGTTTCAAAGTCCTTGAATTAATATTTTCTTGAATTTTGGAAGATGTACCTGTCTGATTATGGAGTAGAGGCATTCATCCTTGGTGGTTTTTATTGTGTATTATTTATTTTAAGTAGTGAGAGTCATGCTGAGCAACTTGGGATTCATCTCACCAGGGTTTATACATCTAAAATCTAGATACCTGCAGCTGCCTGCAGTGATTATATGTAGGCTGTCTGTGAAGCTAGCCCAGAGAAACTAGCTCAAAAATCTGAATTTTAAGGGTCTGCATTTGTACAGATGAA